GTTGAAACCGAGTGGCAGCAGTTTAAGAGAAGCCTACTCGAGGCTGCCGCCGAATGCTGCGGATATAAACAGGTTGGCCTGCCGCCTGAAGGTCAGCAGAGATCTTTATGGTGGACACGAGAGGTACAACTGGCAGTAAAAGAGAAAAAAGCAGCGTTGAAGAAATGGCTTGGAAACAAGGAGCCATCTACATGCGTGCAATGTGTCGAGGCACGCAAGGCGGCAGCCATAGCAGTGGCAAAAGCCAAGGCTGATTCCTGGGAGAAGTTCGGTGAGGTGTTATAGTCGAATTTCCACACGGCAAACAAAGCATTCTGGCAGACCATCTGCCGGCTCCGAGCTGAAAAGACGGGCAGCCTCAAATTCTTGAAGGACAGATCTGGACACCCACTTACTAAGGATGATGACATTCTTCGATGGAGGGAGTACTTTGAAGAACTCCTTAACCCCGCGCAACAGCAGGAAGACTCGCCTTTAGAGCAGAAGGGTACGTACATTACTATCTCTGTAGATGAAATTGCAAAAGCTGTGAAAAGCTTGAAAAATGGAAAAGCTGCTGGAACTGACGAAATCCGCCCTGAGATGCTGAGGGCATGTGCTGGCTAACATGTGTCTCTCAAACTACGATGACTGCGGGAAAGACACCAGCGGACTCGACAACGGGAGTTATTGTACCCGTATTCATGAAGGGAGACCACAAGAAATGCTCCAATCATAGGGGCATAACGTTATTGAGCCTTTCATGTTAAACCTACACAAAGGTGTTACAAAGGATGTGTCTTGAAATAGTCGACCTCAAAATCCAAGAAGGGCAGTGTGGCTTCTGGCCCGGTCGAAGCACCTCTGATCATATATTTGTCCTGCGCCAGATTGTTGAGAAATCGTGGGAATACGCCCATCCGGTGTACATGTGTTTTGTGGACCTAGAGAAAGCGTATGACCGGATCCCACGCAACAGTCTGTGGACATGCCTTGTACATGTGTTTTGTGGACCTAGAGAAAGCGCATGACCGGATCCCACGCAACAGTCTGTGGACATGCCTTCGTGCATACAGGATTGATGGCAAGTTGCTAAGAGCCATTCAATCGCTGTATTCTGATAGCAGGTGCTGTGTCAGAGTTAATGGCGTTAAGTCGAAACCATTCAACGTTCGCACTGGTATTCGGCCCAAGGCTGCGTCCTGTCCCCTATCCTGTTTGTGTTGTACATGGATAGAATAGTCAGGCGCTGCCAAAGTGATGAGGGTGTGCGACCTGCCCCTATGCTGTTTGTATTATACATGGATAAAATAGTCAGGAGCTGCCAAACCGATGATGGTATCGGTGTAGGAAATGTGTAGTTGAGAAGGTTGCTGTTTGATTACGACCTTTTTTATTAGCATCTTCTGAAACTGATGATCAGGGCCCCATAGAAAGGTTCACAGCCGAGTGCGACGTGACCGGCATCCGTATGGACGCATCTAAAAGGAAAAGCCTAGTGCTTCATCGTTCTCCTGCCCGCTGCTCTCTTCAGATTAACGGAGATGCAGTGGAGGAGGTGGAGAAGTTCAAGTACTTCGGAATTGTATTTGCTAGTGATGGAAAATTTGAGCAAGAGATCGACCGGCGAACTGGAATAGCCAGTCACATTCTGCGTGAACTAGCCCGACCCACTGCGACTAAACCAGAGCTCAGTCTGAAAACTAACCTCTCGATATTCAAGCCGATCATTCTCCCCATACTTACCTACGGTCCTGAATCGTGACCATCACAAAAAAATTTCGATCCCGGGTACAAGCTGCTGAAATGGGATTTCTTAGACGAGTTGCTGGCCTTACAAGTCTCGACATGGTCAGGAATAGTGCCATCCAGAAGAGCCTTGGAATACAGCCTTTGCTTCTCCAAATTGAGAAGTCACAACTGCGATGGCTTGGGCATGCGTTGCGAACGTTTCCAAAAATCAAAGTTAAGCAACTGTTTCTT